GATAGGGGGCCGATTATATCGTGCATCCCTAGTTCCAGATGTTCAGAAAATAAACTCACTTTGGTTAAAAAGTGCAACTAAAGAGAGTAAAACATTTCAAGTGCAGAAAATCAGAACTGTTGAAATGTTGTAAGATTAAGACTAAAACCAAAACAAAAGAATAACTGTGAGGTATGCTCTGCAACAAGCCCAAACAAACATGACATGATGAGCAGGTTGCCAGGTTTCCTGCAAAATTTAGTCAGTTCAGTTGAACACGTTTTATGAGCTTTATAGGGCTGTTATGATGTGAATTTATACCCACATTGTTTTAAAAATGTAACTTTATAAGTTCAACTTAATAATTTGTAGTAAATTCATCTAATAACTTCAGAAACAAACATCTATAAAGATTTTTTTTATGATGGTCTTTGTTTTTGGCTCTGACATGGCTCCAGTCTTTCTAAACCTAAACACCCAACTTTAAAACCTTTATATATTGTAAACCAGCAAAATTTAAAACCAGAGATGTCAAACACAAGTCATTCAGGGTCAAAGCGCCGAATCAAATAGCTGAACAACTGCCTCAGCATGCAGTGAAGTCCTCCAGAGCTTTATGACGTGATTATTTCACTGAGATGTGTTGAAGCAGAAGCACATCTAAAAGTTGCAGGGAGTCACCCCTCAAAAAACAGTAAAATGGTTATTATAGCCATTTACTTAAAAACCCTCTTTAATAAAAACCTTGTTAAACACGCAACGTTTAACATTACTAGAATAATTTTATAATCTAGGAATACTGAACTCATTTGAATTTAAAAATTATACTCAACAACAAAAAATTATAGTAAGCTGCAATTGGATTTTTTTTCGTTTTTGGGGCGGGGGGGTCTTTTTTTAATTAATAAACAAAAAATGTACAAGGTAGCCTCATAGCACTACAAAAAGGTATTTGTTTAATAGCATATTTCTTTTAAGGATTTTATCAAAAGTTTTTCTAAGTTTGAATTTTTTAGAACTTTGTTTATCATCATATCAGAGTATTTTAGAGTAGTATTCCTTCTTCACTTGAGACTCATTTTCGTGGTTGTCTCTCAGCTGCAATGCAACGCTTCCTAAAGCATGCACCATTGCGTATGTGACTCAATTTCAGCCTTATCTGAGGAGGAAGTGTCTTAAGGATCAGGTCAAATGTTGTCTTCATTGGCAGATGTTTTCTCAACTCTTCCAAATGCAATTGCTTTTCTTTTCTTTTTGTAAGAGAAAGTGTTTGTTTCACCCATTCGGGCTTCTGAGATTATCATTTCAAAGCCATTTGACTGATAGAGTAAATCTTCCTTTATGTGAGCTGGGTTCGAAAATCCTACTGGTTGCTTTATTGTCGCCATGACAAAATATAACATATAATGCATGGTAAAGAAAATAGGAAAAAATCTGCAGTAAATCTAGGGCTGTTACTTAAGAAATGGTTTTTCGAAATTTGGTCAGGGTTTAACTTCAACCTAAAGTATCGCCTGCCAAGAGGCGTGCTGAGAACGAAGGAAGGAGCACCCATAAAGCTTGCAGGTGGTTGCTGACATCATTTCCGAGAGAATTTCCGTTTGTAGAATGACAGGAAGTTAACCCTATTACCACTTCCTCTCCAGTCAGCGTGCCCTTCGCAAATATGATGAAAACCCCCAAAGAAGTCGGCTCAAACTCTCCACAACCTAGCTATGTACATTGTTTGGAATATATGGCTCAATATTCAATTGCCTCAGAATGGGAAGCATCCTGCAGAGTTGAGGCTGTCTAGTTGGCCACACATTGAAATATTTTCCTAGGCTGTCTGTAAAGAAACTTAATGAACCATCAGAAATACATTAAGCTGCATTGAGGGGCATAAACGGCAAAATGATGTAACTTAAAAAGAGTAAAATACTCTGGTATTATATCTTTATCCCTATATATTCAGTAGTTTTACCTACTTCAAAAGGATATATACCTCTATTTAGTGACATGATATTCCTGTTGTTAGCTCTTGCTAGCCAGATACATTTCTTTATCTTGATGGTTCTCAGAGGAATAAAATGGATTGCTGTAGGACCGTGAATGGTACCTTAAAGTTCTTGTTGTAAGAGCTGCATACTGCTACATACAATTATTACAAATAATACAGTCATGCTAAGGAATGTGGGCAACCTTAAAGCTCCTAGCGACAGCTAGGAACATCATGAGGTCCCTCTGCTAACTGAATTAGCACTGGGAAGCACACTGCTTCTTCTTCCTAGTTCCTTCCTTTCTGCCAGCACTATTTATACAACACTTATCGTAGTGATCATTGACTGATTAACAGAAGTCGCTGGCTGAGGAAGAAATCGTAAAACGTAAACACTGCAATAAACAAACTAAGAGAATCCGTCTGAACAAATGAAATCACAACAAAACCAACTAAAAATGTTAAGAACTAAGCAAGAGAAATAAACTAGAAAACAACTGGCAAAATGTAAACAAACCAAATTAATTTGGCCAACCCTTAACAGTTAATAAACAGAATATAGCAAAACTATCAACAGTTTTAAGACAATACCAAAACACAATTTTCTTTAAGTAGAAAATTAAAACCTAACAAGGAAACTAAACTAAAAAAAAAACTAAAAACTAAAAAAAACTAAAAACTAAAAAAAAAAAAAAAAATCAACAAAAACTAATACTAGAGAAACTTCAAACCCTACAATTAAAGTTAGGGGACTGTCATTCTATAACAATCCCCCAAAGAGGATCAAATTCAGCCATATTAAAACTACCCTTAATCAGATTTAGGAAGTAGAAGTCATTGTTCCACATTAGCATCCAACAACCATTTGTCATTCAGTTACAGAGTAACAAGCAAACAAATAAAAGCATCATCATTTTGCCTCTCGGTGGAAAAAGTTAGATGCTTGTACAAGGTCAAAGGTCAAGGGTAAACTATAGTGGATTTCTGCCATGAGCAAACCACCATCAGCCTGCATCATGGCAACAAACAACACATCCACCCTTTTCTACTGCTAATGCCTATTTTGCAGTGTGAGAAATTGCAACCAGTGCCTTGTTTTGATGGCACCTTCAGGACTAGCATAATATTCACTTTGAGAAATGAGGCAGCAAAAAACACATTGCAGGTACAGCTGACTGTATATAATTACAGTGTCTTATGGAGCAGGGAAAACACTCTAACTAAAGTGGTTCTTTGGGCTATTTTTATTTGTCCTAATAATTATTTTTGATCATATAGTGATAATAGTTTTCTAGATTTCAAAGTGGTTGTTTAATTTGTATTTATTAAAAATTGTATAATCTTTTGTCTTCAGCTACCCCCTCTTTAAACTTTCACAAACCATAATTAGAACCATGCATTTGAAATCATATTGTAGTTTCAAAAGGGTTGACTGCATCTCTTTATATAAACTGGTGTTAGAATGTGGTGTTTGTGTGAAGGCAGATGTAAATCAAGGTCGCTTCAAGAGATACTGGTGCCCTGCACCTTTTTAACAGCTCTAGCTTGCTTTGTATGTTACAGAAAAACTGACACAAAATGAGACTCACTGGTTTAACATGCACAACATGACATGGCAGGTTTTGACAAATATCGAAACCCTGAAGTTATGCATGCACTCTCTCCTATCAAGGTGGGTTAAAGATGTTTGGCAAGATATTGTAGCCGCAGGGAAAACTTTCCTGCACATACTTTAGAGGAGTGTTTCTTACATGTCAACATGTGCTGTGTGGAAAGCATGTGCATTCAGCCTTTCCTTATATGTTTGTTTGGTTAACTACATTTCAAGTCTTGTCTGTGGTTTTCAATTGCCCCTTGGTTTTGCTTAAATGTGGAACTATTAGCCTAATTTTCTTTAAAGAAAGGATACTTTGTTACATTTGTAGCTAATGCCAGAAGACGACCAGAATACTGGAATCAAATTTAGGTTTTCCTTAAAGGAAATCGCACCAAATGGTGTTTCAGTAAGGAAATCTAATAACATCTTATTCAGGTACGGACAGCTCAAGCTCACTTTACAAACATCTAAAATGCCACTTAATCTGGTCTGTGATTGGATGGTCACCATTTTACGCTCGTTTCTTGTAATGGCTGCGTTAAAACACCATAACTTAAGTGGTCCAGGAGTTACGGTCTTGTAGAGAAAAGTGGATCTGCAAAAGATGAGACTTGGTGATGGAGTCTGCTATTGTAAATCAGGCATTTTTCTTATCTTTGGTCATGTAATCTACAAGGGTTGTAATATTTGGAATATTCATTTACAAAAAACGTTTCGCTGGTATTGCTAGATTGATGGATTTTATTAAATAGAATAGAATAAAATAGAATAGAATAGAAAAGAATAGAAAAAAAAATATATATATATATATATATATAGTTATCACACAGAATATTAAATAGTAATTGCACATTAGTTATTGTAGTTATAGGGCCACCTTGTAAAGTCTGATGGCAGCAGGGATGGATGACCTGCGGTAGTGCTCCTTTTTACAAACAGGGTGTAAAAGTCTTTCACTACAGGAGCTGCTCAGCTCCTCTACAGTCTGGTGCAAAGGGTGGAAGGTGTAATCCATGATGGATGTAAGCTTGGACAGTACCCTCCTCTCAGCCACTTCCTCCACCGAGTCCAGATATTACGCTCAGTTGGTTACAAAATCTAATTTCTCAACCTCAAAAGCAAGGGTTTGAGGCTCTGAAGTCATGCGTACAGTCGAGCTGCTGTCTAGAAAACACTGTCAATCAACTGGGTATACAATCTAAAAAATAAACAGCATTACCTTCATAGCTAAATAGGATTTCTATATAGCTATTGCATGGGTGACCAGTCCACCTTGTTCATTGATTTCTGACAATAGACACTAGCAGACCCAATAGCTGGATGATAGCTCATTTAATTTGACTTTACAGCATGTTTGGACTTCCAATGTAAGCACATGGCTCATGGATATAGAGGCTATCAACATGGAGGCTCTAAATCCCCTGTAAGGCCTCGCAAGTTTATTTGTAGAGCACATGTCATCAACAAGACAATGGTGTACATGATCAGAACATATGAGAAAAAAAAGAGAAGAAAGCAGAGTTATACTACAGACTTAAAGTGGCTACGTGTCTGAGTTTTGTTAGACTGAACAGCTAAAGGGGACTATAGGTTTTTAAATGAGATGATGTGCTCCACTTTCCTACTTTTTGGGAGGAAGCAGGCAGCAGGATTCTTAATCTACACTTAAGACTCTCAATCCTGTTTAGACGTTAGTCCTTTAAACTTGGAACTGTTTCTCTGGTGATGAAAGACAAACTTTGTAATTGTCTTTATGTTCTTCTAAAGGTTCTGGTCTTGGTCAATCACTACACTAACCACTTATCCCTGATGGCCTTAAGAAACTAAAGCTGTGTTCAAAGTTTTTATCGTTCAAAATTATCGCATTCGTTTTTATTTTTAAGCAAGCTGAAGAATCCATGCACGGATTTCTTCTATCTACTTCTACTGTCTTCTGGTATTGCTCTAGTATTACACCTATAGCAACACCACTTTTACAAGCTATAGAAAGTAAGTTGCACTTTGCAGAAAACGGCACACAAATATCACATTTTTTTACATGAATCTGAAGAAAAACCTCAGAGTAGTTTTAGATAACTACTTTCCAACCATTCAGTTGCTTTAAAATAGTGTTGCACGGATACCAGTATCGGGCAGGGCCCCGATCCAGCACTAAAACGGTGGTATCAGTATCGGCGAGTACCAACAAATAGGGCAGCGATTTTGAGAGCCAAAAGTTTATTTTAACTATTGTCACCCATTCCAGGTAGGAAATAAAAAGTTCTACTGGATTTACTTTGTATTAGTCATTTTCCTGCTTCACAAAGGAAGGCAGCAGCTTGACAAATCCATGATGGCAATTATTTTACATAAAAGTACTATGCACTTCTTCATATATATATACACACACACAATTTCAAACAGATGGTATCGGTCAATACTGTATAGCCAGGCATCGGTATCTGGGCCAAAAATGGCATTGGCAAAACACTACTTTTAACTTTGCATCAGGTAGAATAGTACTTTTTAAGTATAACACGAAATTAATATTTGATGAATGTACATATTTTGCTACTTCTTACACTTTTTGTTTTGCACTTTCCCAATATTTTTAGTTCTCATATGTCCTTCTGATGTATCTCCTTCTCTTATGTATAGTAGTGGGAGTGGCGGCCTAGGGCTTTGAATACTGAGGTTGTGAGTTCGATGCCCCACTGCCACTCTGTCTCCCTGAGCAAGACCCTTTACCCCACATTGCTCCCCGGGCGCTGGAAAATGGCAGCTAACTGCTCCTCAAAGAGATGGGTTAAATGCAGAGAATTCATTTTGTTGCTCTGTACTTGTGACAGTGGAATGAGAATAAAGTTGAATTCTATTCTAATTCTAGAAGCACCCCATTAACAACAACCTACAAAGTAATAGCATCTAGTCTTTATAGCTTGTTTTTAATTTTTTTGCAACCAGCTATTCGGTGGTGCTTTGTGTGTAAAAAGGAACATTATGCAAGATTTTACTTCATATTTAATTTTTTCCCTCATAAAAAAAGAATATGACTTCATACATATCGCACAAGCCTTAAGCCTATCTCTGAAGCAATGGTGTGGTGGATGGATACTTAACTAAAAAGCAGCTTGCTATGGCGGCACATTGCTAACAAATAAAAAATGGGTTGAAATTGAATATTTTTATTTCTGTTCTTCTTTATAGCAGTGTTAGTGTTAAATGATTGTATTAGCACCTTTACTCATAAAACACAATGTTGCTTCCTGTTTTATGTTATAAATATTTCGAATCCCTTTCTATTTTGACAATCCCAGTTGGGCTGTAGTCACACTTCCTTTATTGAATTATGTTATTTTTTAAAAGTTTGCTGATTTTTTAAATCTATCCATGTAAAAGCTTAGCAAATAACCAATCATTTTTGTTATTTCAGATGGATGATATTGATGCCATGTTTAGTGACCTGCTGGGGGAAATGGACCTCCTTACGCAGGTGAGAAATATTTGTAACTTTTTTGGACTTTCAGTATAAGGTCTTATTCTCTTGGAATTATTGACCAGTTTGATAGATTTTTTTTTTTTTTTTTTACTGTTTAATGAGCCAATTAACTTTTTCAATTTCTCTTGCTTTCTCTTTGAGTTGAGTTAATCATTATCAGCGAGTGCTGTGAGCAGAAATCAATACACGGAAAGAAAAATATAAAGAAGGACATCAATGGCTGTGATGCAATGTCATTTAATGTTTTCAAATACAAGTAAAAGAGTTTTCCACTCATGTGGTTGATTCCAATAGCATCACTGTGTTATATTACATTTTTACGAAATGGATTAATTAACATCGCTTTTTTCTGGGCTAATTGAGCTAAATGCAAAACTTTGTTTTGCATTTAGCTCAATTAGCCCCATTTACTTTTTGTATAGATGCATTATCAAGATTTAATCACGCTGAAAGTCACAACTGACTCGAACCTAAATTTAGTATTGAAATAAGAAATAAGGAGTATAACTAAAGAAACCTTCCACCATCTTAAAACAGGACTAGGATAAAACGGTTTTCCTACAAATTATGAAACAAAATAACTACTGCGTGAGGATTTATTTTAGTAGCGTAAAGAAAAAATAAAATAAAAAAAAATAAAATATATATATATATATTCATTTTTAAATAATGACTTATCAGTTAATCAGTAAATGATATTGACTCTAGATATATTTTAGTTGCCTATTAGATGCCGATCATTTAGTTGATCAGAGATCTTTCCCTCATTGTCTCAAAGAACTGAGATACATTGAGTTTCTATGCTCCTATGTGATGGAGCAGAATTATTTTCAGAACTGGATGATGTACATAGAAACTTGATTTGCATTGAACCTCTAAGGAATACATCTTAAAAAAAAAGTATACACTCTTTCTTTTTATTTTTTGCAGAGTCTTGGACAGGAAACAGTCCCTCCTAAACCACTCCCCAGCGCTGAGCAAGAAATCAACCTCTCCATCGGCTTCAATGACTTGAATGGTGACTTTACTTTTTAGTGTCATTCTCTCTGACTGTGAGCTATTCTGAGAAAACATACACAACGGCGCTCCATTTGATGTCTAAAGTTGAGTAAAGACAGGACATGGTCATCAGTTTTATCAGTTAAATGGAAAATTAAAGTAACCAATGATATCTAGAGAGAAAGAGAATCACTTAGCTGTTCTGCTCTGTTTTCTTTTATGTTTAACCTTTGAAAAAAAGGCCTAATCACACTTTGTGTTTGTGTCCTAAACAGGCTGTGAAACCAGTAGTATTTCACAGAAAGGTCACACCCAGATATGACAAGCAACTCCTATCTTTGTTCTCCCCTTCCTCTTTTATTTCTTCACTTGATCTTACAGAATCATTTTTAGATTAAAAACTGCAACTAAAAAATTAACAACTCAGAGATAGATATTTTAGATTAGAGATTAGATTAGAGATTAGATAGATAGATA